AAAATTTTCTGCAGTATACAGTGAGATTATACATTCATATTTGTACATTGCACTTCATTTGTATCCTCCTTTCAGTCCACTTTTAGCTTCCTTTGTGACTTTTTCTGAAACCAGCAATAAGTTTGCTAAGTATGCTGGCATGAGACTTTCCTTGTCTGCACAGGTAGAAATCAGGTATAGAGTTGAATGCGCTGACAATGTAATGGACTTAATAATATTAGCTATTGTGGAACTCATTTGAGTAAATGTAGCTTATGTAACAATCTACACCTGAGTAGTTACCCTAGGCTCTCTGTAGTCATCAGGGGGACAAATATATGCATTAGAATATGGTTCCTTTGATAGCAAATTACATGTTTAAAATAAATTAGAAGAATGCTCCATAAGAGAACGCAGAAAAGGTGCAGGTTTTCTTTAACTCTTTTTTCCTGTTTGGAAAGCACTATCCCCAGAATGCAGTGCAGGTACACGTCAGGTGGCTATTTTGTGGTGCTTTGGCTAATGTTTGATAAATGTTCTTTACTTGAAAAGAAACAGATACAGCACAAAATTTGTCCCAGAATCTCCTTATTCAGAAAATATTTCCTAAGGATGATTTATAGTTTTTTGTACTACATGATGTAAAGGGGTCACCTGTTTGCAAGAGCAGGAAAACTGGCCCCACTGACAATCAATACTATTTTGTTGGCTCTTAATAACGTAAGAAAGAGGAAGGAAATCAGAGGTTACTGCATACTGCACCTTATAACCCATGTAAGAAATCACATCAGTATGTATTGGCAGAAAAGACTGGGTGGAGAGAAGAGGGAGATACTAACTGCGTTTATGTGGAAAACAGAGATGGAAACATCTCTGACTAAAAACAGAGAAAGTCTGTGTAACAGTAGGCAAAACACTTCCTCTGAAAAGGAAATATTTTCTTAAATATTATAATAGCACCTTGAAAAATTATTCAGGAATTGGCTCATAGTTTCTCCTTTACCACTGATAATGCTGAGTGCTAGGTCAGGTCACTGAGATGAAGAAATTACAGTCTAAACAATAGAGTCAGACAAGGGACATTATTTGGCTCATCAGCATTTCTGTCAGTTATTTCTGCTACAATTCTCTGCTGGTTTTGATATGCTTCACAACAAGTATGAGTAGCTATGTAGTGCTGGGACTTTGGAGATCACCCAAAGGGCTACAAAGTACAGTTCTTACCAGTGCAAAAGGCAGTACCCTTTGTAAATATAAAACAGCTTATGATACACCCCTTCTTTTTATGACTCTGTGTATAGGTGTATAACTGTTGCGATTATGAAACTAGTTCTAAGCTCACAGTTTCCTTCTTTTCATATTTGATGTTGCCTAGCAGTATGAAAATAAAATTAAAAGGTGTTGATTTTTTTGTTTTACTTCGTGATCTAGTTGGCAAAAAACCTGCCATCTCACTGAATTAGTGAAAGAATAGAAAAGAACAGGATCTAACATCTGGTAAGACATAACTTGGACTTTACTCTTGATTGTGTCTGTTTCAAATGCCAGGTGTCTATCACCTGGGGTATAGTCTTACTTTGGCAAAGTAAATCTATTACTAACTCTCTAAAGAATGCTGTCTCTGAATGATGCCACTGCTAATGGAACACTGATTTACTGCCACAACTGTAAAGAATCTTTTCTAACATTGTGTTACACTTCCCATCAATTTAGATCAATCAGACCTAACATATGTGAGAAGTTATCTGCATTTTTCTCCAGTAAAACCAAAATGATGAAAGCTTTGCTTTCCCAGAGGTATGATTCACTATTGGTAGCCCCACTGTTTTTTCTTTAGCCCTCATCTTCTTTGTCAGGGCTGGAGCATATTATTCCCGTAATGCTTGCCAGAATTCTATGGCTTATTTGTTGTTTGAGACTTACCATATGTGTCTTTGATCCCTGCCCAGTAGGCACCCTGGCTGCTTGCCAGTTTGGCACATATGATTATCAACAGTATGAATAGCTCCCTTGCTTTTGATTCTGTCCTTCTTGCTGTCATCAAATCACTCTTTAAACAACTTTCTTATTTTCTATTAGATGCTTGTAAATGACCAACCTATTTTTACCATGCCCTTCTTGGCCAAGGTTTTGTGTCACACTGCTGGAAATCCAACAGCTTGTTGTTTCCATTCCTAATGATCTGACTGCCAACTACCTGTGTAATTGCATGGGAACAATAAGGAGTAAAGAAACATCGCTCATGGTAATATTTGAAGTTTCTCTGTGTGTTAAACAAATTTGCCTGTTCTCTCCATCTGGTTGGCTTGGTGGCATAAATTCTGTAAGAGATTATTTAATTTAGTGAAAAGCATTCCTTTAAATAGATATTTTAAAACCCTTGACCAGAATACAGTGTAAGCCAATAACAACGATAAATCCATATGAGTATCAGAATAAGAAATACTTTTAAAAGACAGATGGAAAGCCAAAAGCCAGTCATGCAATTTCTATTCACTATCCTGATGTAGCACTGAGTCCGTCCATGTGTTCTGGTAAACTGAAGTTCCAAAATGCCATTATTGAACAAAAAATATGAAGAATCAAAATAAGGAACAGCACAGGACATATAAAGATCCAGACCACAAGAGGCCCATGTGCTGTTACAAAAGGTCTGTCAGAAGTCTCGTTATTCTTCACATGATTTTGCAAATGCTTCTGCCAGTATATATATCGGTACTACCACTGAAAGCAGACAAGGTTAAAAAGCCTGTTGTACCATATCATGTTAACTCCACAGGGGGGTGGAGTAAGCTTTGTAGCCCCTGTGAGCAAAAACAGCATTGGCATGATTATGCCTGCCTAAGACACATTGAAGTCTTGTTGGAGCTACTTCCACACTGTGCTATCCTACGTGACTCTTGTTTAGGAATAACAATTTGGCTTAGCTCTGAAGCTTTTAACACACAGTGCTTTTTTCAATAGATAAATTACCATGTACTTCTCCCAAGAAACATCTTCACCCAAGATGAATGTGTTTTGTTTTTACATCTCTTGAAACAACTGCTTACATGGAACTAGAAACACTGGTTGAAACATTCAGTGCTGAATTGGAAAGGGTGAGAAACAAATTCTGATTTCAGGAAGAATGAGAGGTACAACAGGAAAAAAAAAAAAAAGACAGAAACTGTTGCATAAGAACCCAGTTTATTTGGGATTGCTTTATAATGTATCATTATGTGTTCCTTCTCTGCCCAACAACACTGCGTTTTCAGAAAAAGATGCTCCTTTTCAGCATATGCGATGTCACTCTGAGTCTTAAAGCAGGTTTGTGCCCAAAAAATGCTCACAGTAGACTTAGGCTGGAAGAACACACTGAAGCTTTAAGCCCCGCAAAAATGTCACTCAATTCTGGCAGTGTGTTTCATAGTTATGTTTGCAACAACAATGACTAAGAAGCAACACTGTTAGAAGGGATTTAATGTGGAGAAGATAGCATTTTGACAGCTAAACTAGTTGTACAGGTTTATAATGAAGCTAACTTCAGAGGCATTTGTAAGAAAGATGATTAAAGGCACTATAAAGTTTGACTTCAGTACTGGAGTAACTTGAGAACAGGTTGGGTACGTAGGAGAGGTATACTTTAGACGCAGACATACTCAGCTTCCTTGTGACTGCATTTTTCACCCTATTTTCAGCTTGCTATGAAATGTACAGAAAAGTGCAAAATTAAATTATTTACCTCAATAAAGTGCTTTTCTCTTCACATGTATTGCAACACAAATAAACTTTCACCGGGAGACAAAAAGGGTAAGGTTTGAATTTTTAGGCAGGCTTTGTGCATTTTATCCCTAGCTCTACAGGTAACAAGACCAAAGTAAGTACAGTGGGATTTTGAACTGTGAAAATATAAGAAATCTGTATCCAAAAATATTTTACTGGAAGTAGACAGAAAAGATACTAACTGCCTCAGATTGCAGTCAATACAGAAACCTCCTGGCACTTTTCTGTGGCCAGGTTTGAAATTGCAGAGATGCCCACCAGTGTTATTTCAAAAGTAATTCTAAAGTTGTATTTTAAATATTTTATTTCAGAAGAGTTGTAATTATCCCTCAAAAAAAAAACCAACCCAAATTTCCCAGCCAATCCATCAGCAGTTTTGCTTTACAATGACACTCAAAAACAGGGAGGGGTTTGGATGCACAGAACACTGAGCTTGAAATGCAGAACAGCAGCAGAAAAAGGTGCTTTGAGAGCATCATGTCTACCTGAGAACAACTGAAACGAGATTCGGCTGTAAACCTGATAATCTTTTCCAGCAAATGACAGAGGGAAAGTTTAGTGAATTCAACAAACACTCCCTGATACCCCAGAAAAGGAATGATCTGTAAACTATTTCCAGTGCATACGGTATTTCACTTGAGACTGGTCTGGAAAGTTGGCTGACACACTGAATGCTGAAGGAGATGACAAAATACAATCTGCTGCTTCTGAGAGAGCTGTCAAAAACCTGAAAAGTACTCTGTTTGCTACGTTCTAAGTTTCTGCTACCCAAATGAAAGACATAAATGCAAACATGTGCATAAAGCCTCTTAACAAAGACCTGCTGCCGCTTGAAAGGCCGAGTGAGCAGGGCAGGCTTTATTCCCCATTATTCTCAGTCCCAGGATCCCAAACAGGGCAAGCGCGTTTGGCCTCGAAGCAGCCCTGTCCCTTCTCCTTGCTCCTCTCCTCCCACTCAAGCCTTCTGCCAGAAGCATTGAAAGCCCAGACCGGACTCCCTTTCCCCCGGGCCCACCGGGCCTCCTCGGAGGTTTCTCCTCCACCCCTCCCCGCAATGGCAGGCTGCTGTGACGCTGCCCAAACCCGCACTACCGGCGGTCAGTCACTGCCGGGCTTCTCTGCCGGGCCGTGAGGAGGCGGAGGTGAGGTGAGGCTACAGGCCCGCCGTCGCCTCCGGGGAGGCTGACCCTCACCGCTGGGGTCCACCGCAGCCGCCCGTTCGTAGGGCTGAGGCGGCGGCTGTCGCAGCGCCCGTGCTGGGGAGGCGCGGCGGCGATACCGGCGCGGAGGGCTCCCGCGCTCCGCCAATCACAGGCGCTGCTCGGAGCCAGGCTGCTGCCAGTGGCGGCGGCGGGGGCCGCGGCGGGCCGGAGAGAGACCTTGCGGCTGGGTTTTCGGGCGCCCGGCGAGGGCCCGGTGCCGGGCAATGGGCACCGTGCCGTCAGCGCTGAAGCACTGCCTCAGCTACCAGCACCTCCTCAAGGAGCAGCTGTGGATCGGAGAGCAAGCCCCGCCGCCGCCTGCGGCTCCGCACCCCGGGCAGGTATCGCCGGGCGGGGTGAAGGGATGCGATGGTGTCGGCCCTGCGAGGCGCGGCCGCCGCCAGGGGGAGGCCGGGGCCGCAGGGCGCGCAGGGCTGCTGCCACCCCGTTCACGCACGTACACTCGTCCCTACTGCTCCCTGCCCGAGCCGGCCCTCAGCCTCCTCTCGGCCCTCACCGCAGGGTGTAAGGGCGTCACGGAGCAGTGGGGCTTCAGATCCTCACACGCCAATTTTTGGGCCTTTCCTGATCAGTTTCAGAATATACGGCTGATTTAAAACCATCTGAACTGGTAGTGCAGACACAGGTGGGCATCTCTGGTGCCGCTGTGGTCCCCTCCACCTGTTGGAATCTACTGTGTTCAAAGTCAGAAATCTGTGGGGTGACACATGTTTTGGTGAGGCCACAGTATGGCCCAGGCTATTCTGTGTTTGTACTTCCCTAACAAGTGTGATGGGCCCATTTGCTGTCCGGTGGAGAGTTGCTACAGCTCTAAAAGCGTGGAGGCAGAGCCTTTGGCTCCTCTGGAGCACCCGCACCCTCCTTTTGGCCAGGGATTGTCATGAATGAGTGAAGGTGATTGCACAGCCTCCTGTCTGTCAGCTATGAACAGGTGTGAAGAGTGACTGGAGATAGTGGAGAGTGGGAGAGGAAGTTTGATGAGGAGGCATGTGGGCAGGCCTCCAAATGAAGACCATAGACTATGACTGTCCTAATCATGGCTTTGGAAGAAAAGAAATGAAGGAAAGGGAAAGCTACCAGTGGCTTTTAGGGAGAGGCTGCATAAATCTGGAGGAGGAGATCAATATGATTAGCTCAAACAAGGAGATAATTCTACAAGGAAATAATTCTGAGCATGACATTACTTTTGCTATAAAAACACACTTATTGTTCGGGCATATTGTGTCTGAACTGTCATTTATTCTGAGTCTAATTCCACTAATCAGTAGGTGCGTCAAACATTAAAAAACATGAGCCAAGCCTACAACAAAATTGGTTTAAAATTCACATCTTCAGAAATGCACTCCTTGTTCTCTTTTGTTTTTTTTCCACCTTTCAGATATACCAGAAGTACATCTTCCATTTTTCTGCACCATCTGGAGATGAAATTTAATTACTTGAGAGCAGTGTAACTTCAGAGGTAGGGAAATAATGAAACCTGTAATGTTCTGAGTGCCACGAAAGCTCACAGCATTGTAATTTTGCTTTAGATGATCTGAGCTTAATATTTTAAAAGCTACATATATGTAATACCCAAAGCAATACTATTGTAAGCACAGAGCTTTGTACAGGTAAGCACCATACAACTTCCAGCTGTCACAGTTCCCTGAGAATAGTGCCTATCCAGCACTGAATTTTGGGGAAAGAAAACCAAGCATAATTCATTCAGTTAGTTCTGTAAAAGTGGAAGAATATTTTCTTACTTTAAAGAGAATCAAAATAGAATGAAAAGACTTTTGTGTACTGGCATGAAGCAAAGCATTAGAACCTCTTCATTTGCCCTTGCTACATTTTGGTGCATCATTTGCTGTAAGTTTCAAGGGCTTTTTGCAACAGAGAGGGTTTGAAGTCAAAGACAAGCAATAATATCTTCTCAAAAAATAAAAAAAGTTTTTTTATTGTAATGGACGTCTATAACTTTTGCTTCATTTCTGCAGTGCTCTTTCGTTTTCACAACCTTTTTTCTTCTTCCAAGCATACAGAAAGAGGTCTTCCTTAGTAAATGGCAAACAGGAGAATTTGCTGCTTATCTTCCCCATGCGCATTGGTGTGATTGCAGAGTCTGTTGAGCTCATAGACACTAATCAAGTCCAGAGCTGGACACTGTTAATGTTTTAACATTTGCTTCTGCATTACCTTACTGTGATTTTTATTGGAGGGTTTTAATAATTTTCTTTATTTTACATGAATATGTTCAAATTTCCATTTTTCTCACATGGATGCTTAAACAACCCGTAAAGGTTTTCCTTATGGTTGAGTGCATTCTGTGCCAATCCTGTTCAAGAAAATACTTGTTCTTTATGTGATCTACAAACCATATTAGCTCAAGTGGTGGTTGTAAAAAGTGGGGTTTTTTTTGTTTATTTTGACCAGTGTATTTTATCAATTATGGGGACACCACTGTAATCACATTTATGTGGGTATACTAACAAATAAAATAGGGGAAGTGACTTAAGGTGCAAGAAAGGTTTCCCAGAAATGTTTCCAACTTTTCCTAATTTTCCAAGAAGAGTTCCCAGCTTTCATGGCTGATGAAAATAAGGTGTTGATTTTCTTGCTGAAATCTTTTCAGGAGTTTTTCAATTTTATTTTTTTTTTTTTTTTTTGTTAACACAGACTAAAATGTTATTAGAATGTTGGTACCAGGATGCTTATAAAACTAAAATAGTTCAATTTGGTTTTCAAAATCCAAAATATATAAAAATTCAATTATATGCTGTGCTGACTAATTTGTAAAGGTCCCAGGATTAACCACTTGGAGCTGTATTGGAGGCAAAATAATAGGTCCTAGAGTGAATAGTGAGATATCTTTGCTTTCCCTTAATTTCCCTGTTTAATTTAGCCAACAATTCTGTAGTGTTTTTACAGCTTTATTTGATTTTAAAACATAGGGTTGCTTGAGGAGCGAAGTATGGAAAAGGAGAGGTGAAAAGCAATGGCTAGATAGGAAGTAAGAAGAATTTTCTTGTATCTATTAGTAGAATTTGCTATGTATATTTCACTCTTATTTGGACTAGTCTATAATACAAAAAAATTATTGAATACGTTAATAGTTAATGGGACACCACATGCCTCTTGCAATATCTTCATTTTATTAATTTTATTAATTTCTTAATTTTGTTTGCTTCAGAAATACCATCTTTTGTTTCATATGAAAGTTCTGCTTCATTCTCTTAACATTAACACAGCATATACTGTTTTTATAAATACATCTGATTAAAATTAAAGGTCTGCTTAATTTTACTAAATAGGAGCTATAGCTACGTGAGAATTTCTTAAAGACATGGATTTATATCAGAACTGTAAAATGTGCTAGTATCTACCTAAGAAAGTGGTGGCAGTAGATGTTGCAGTTCTAGGAAGATATCCGCAGTAACCAAGATTGCTACTAATGGTGACTCATAGCACTTGACTGGAATTTGCAATGTACTTTGTGTTCTGTTTTATGAAATCCTCAGGCTGAACAACAGGGAGGAAGGCTGGCTGTTGATTGCTGCTGCTGGTTGTCCTCTGGCTTTGCAGGCACCTCCTGGCTGGAAGGAGGAATGGCCTGAGAGAAATTGACATTGTTCTCATCCTACAGACTTAATGTTATGTTTTCATGTAAGGTAAAATGCAATTTTAATGTATTAGGAATAGGCTAAGGACACAGCAGGGAAGAGCTGGATGGCTGAAGAAGTGGTGTAAAAGACTGGGATGAAATTCAAAGGTACTTTGAGACTAATAACCCAAACTCGAAACTGTGATATTATCAGAAATGACTGAAGAAGGGAATAACCTTGGAATACTCACAAATCATGGGAGGACTACAAGCTGCCAATACAGTATAGCTGTTAAAAAGAATCAAATCAAGTCCTTGGATATGTCAGATCAAGTATTTCCAGTCAAACAGGAAAATGTTGCCATTGCAAAACTCTGTATCTGAGGCTTGTTCAGTTTTGGTTAGCCATATTCAAGATTGAATTGCAGCTGGGACAAGTTAGGTCTTGCACCACTGGAATGGTCAGGAAAATGGAGATGAAATGTAAAATAACATTGTTGTGTTTGATATCTAGTGTTAAGACCTGGGCAGGAAGGGAGGGAAGAAGAGGAAAGAGCTGCTTAAAATAAAGGAATATGTTGCCCCACACAAACAAATGCTTATAATTTGTCTATTAAATACAGAGTAGAAATCTAAAAGCTAAGTATCAAGGGGTGACATTCTTTAATAAAGATAAAATAAGCAGAATTATGAAAGTGAGTAACCTGTATGATTTATGTTGAGAAAAAGGACTATATGATGTGGTTTCCATAGTAGTGAAAATGATTGGATTTTTAAATTTTATGTAATAAGGAGTAGGGACTAGTTATTTAGTTGTTGGAAAACAGAAGACAATTCCAGTTTTTAATTACATTGCATGGCTTACAATGCTTTGGAAAAAATATAATTAGTTAAGATCATTGTGCCAACTTCAGTGTGGATATTCATCTTCTGCCACTTTAAATCAGTGCATCCTGCTCTACTCTATAAGAGTTGCAATGGCTAAACATAGATAAGTAATAGGCAACTTTCTCTTAGACCCTGGGTTTTAATGTACCACTAGTTAGGTGTGCTAAGATGTATGGCATATTAGGAGTTACATGGTTTGGTGAGGGCTGCCTACATCTACTACAGGGAAAGCAAAATTAAGTAAAAAAATAAAACTCTAGTCTCTTGCTTTCCCAGATGTGGCTGTGACTCTAGGAGGCATAAATCTGTCTAAATAATGCTAATGTGTGCTCTGTTATCCTGTAGGATTTCTGTCACAGATTGAGACTCTCATATGGATGCAATACCCAGAATTATTAACACTTGTTTGGTATATTATCATTGGAAATCAGAGTGTACATAATTGTCAAGTTTGTAACTGGAGAGGAGCACAAATTTTACATGCTAAATATATATAATAATGAACAAAAGCTTGGGTCATCTGATTTACACAGATAGCTTTTGTTTCAATGCCTAAGTTGCAATGATTTATATGCTACATGCCTAAATATCCAGACCTAAAACACACAGCCTAAGATTCCCACATCTCCTCGCTGCATGACACTCGTGGATCAAGAGATGCACACAAGTGTCTTGCTTTTGCAGTTTTAATATAATTATTTAGATTTTGCAATATACTGTCATGTTTTAAACATATGCCTGAAGCCTCTCAAATGTATTTTTAAAGTAACTAAAGAATAACAGTGAAAGCCACAGTCTTCTCGTCTTAACTACTTTTGTATTTGATGGTTGTTTCTTGATTCAAATTACAGC